TTCAGAATTGATTTGTATGAAGGGATGTTAAGAGACATTGGCTTGTATTTGAGTACAATGAAGAAGCAAGAGGATTGATTGAATAATACCTTTAAGGATATTAGGCTCTAATCCTACAACTATCTTTTAAATAATAGATTTTTGTAGAAGAGACTAAAGAGAAGAAATGGTATGCCATTAAGAGTGGTAGATGATTTGAAGACCAAATACAAGGAATTAGGTCAATTTTATGATATATTATAGGTTTAAAATAGAAAAATTTTGACTACCTATACCAAGATTAAGAAATACTATTGATGAAAGGAATTATACAAAGATGTAAAGGAATTTATGAGCTCTTGTAAAGAATATTAATTGCAATCCAAGATGAGGTATAAAGATACTTTATTCCCTACCTATCAACTTATCATTTATTTTTTGATGGATGATTGATTTGATTGTTATACCAATGGAGATTTGAAGTATGAAATATTTAGTTTTGGTATGAGATGAATTCTCTAATTATGTGGAAGGAATAATGTTGAAGTCAAAGTCTATTGAGGTAGTACATTGATTGATTTTGGAAGATATCATATGTCACTAAGGGAGCATTGAAAGAATGAAAGTAGACTAAGATAAATTTACTTTACAAGATATGGGTGCAATTGAAATTGATCTCTTTCTATAATTGCAAAGCTAATAATAAGAGTGAAAGAAGGCACCTTTCAATTATTCAAGCTTTGGTCAAAGTATGTAGGAGTCAATTAAGGTTGTAGCCTAGGCTTTTGTCATTTACTTTATGGGCATATATGACTATTCATAATACAATTACTAGCTATATGCCAATAAAATTGATGTTGGAACAAAAGCCTATAATGCCTTTAGAAGAGTCTACTCTCTCTTGGTTATTTTTGTCTTGAGAAGATAGAATTGTTAAAAAGAGATTGTTGGAGCTTCATATTTGCTAATTGGAGAGATTGACTGAGGATCATCAAGTTGCTATGGAGAAGCTTAACGCAGCAAGGTTGAACAATAAAGAGAAGTTTGATAAAACTCATGAATTGAGGCCTAAATCAATTAAAAAAAAAAGATTGGATTTTGGTTTATGATAGTAGTTTGATGTACCAACATTCCACTCTTTGTAAGTTTTTACAATGTTGGTTTGGATCCTATGTAGTGGTTGAAGTATATGATAATGCAACTTATTCTTTTTGAGAGTTAGATAGAACACCATTAAAGATTAAGATTGTAGGAAAGCAAATTAATGTCTTTAAGCAACAAGATGGGATAAATTATATGGAGAATTTAAAGGCTTTTGAACCTCAATATTTTGATCAATGATTCAAAAGTGATATGATTCATAATGATTCTAATTCTAATGATGGAGGTGTTGTGGTCTAATTTTTTGGCACATATCAAAGTATTTATACATGAGTGTCAAAATGTACTTAATTTAAGTGTATTAAAGATATATTTAGGATAATTAGTTTTACTTCTAAAAGAAGAGGAATATAATAATAATATTTTTATAAATTTGAGTAGAATTTAAAATATGAGATTGTTGCCTTAAATGGATTGTTCAAGCTTTGAAGGTATTATTTTTTAGAGTACATATCTGATTCTATAATACTTCAAGGTGGATATTGAAAGAAGATTAGGGTAGGAATTTTGGTATCAAGTGGAACTTTTTGGATTGGAGTGTATAGAAAGGAGGATTGTTGGAGTTTTTTGGGAACAAGATTTAAGACTGGTTTAGAATTTTTTATGTCATTTACTTCATTTTCTTCTTTTTTATTTTGAAATTTTGAGCAAAGCTAGATCTTTTTGTTAGTTTTTCAGTAAGCCTTAATAGACAAGAATAAAAGCTATGATAAGAGAAATCCATGCAAATTTATAGGAGAAAAATCCTTAGAATTTTTAAATAGTAAGATTTAAGAATAGTTTGGATTTTTTCATACCATTTATTAGAATTTTATCATTATGTTTTGAGATTTTGAAGAAAGCTAGAACTTATTGTTAGCTTTCCAAGAAGCCATTGAAGGCAAGAAAAAAAGCTATGAAAAAAGAGGTCTAAGCTAATTTGTGGATAAGAATTTTGAAAATTGTAGCTACAATAATTAACCAATTTTTTCTTGATTTGGCTTTCATTTTATCAAAATTTTATTTATTGACTTTGACAATTTGAAATTTGTAGCTTAAATTAACCTTAATGAGGTAAATTTTTCTTAGATTATATCAATAATAAGTAAATTATAGATATTTTAATAAATAGAGGTTTAGATTTGAGATTAAGATTAGAAGTTGGATGCATCTTGGCTCAAGAAAGAAATTAATCTAAAATTTGTACTCAACTTTTGGACTACTATTTTATATTTGAGTTTATTTGGACAAAATTATGCTTCTTATAACCTACTTGCAATCAAAGATCATGTGTTCTTTTGAAAAGGCTCATTTCCTTGATAGTGAATATAAGCATATTATGTATAGAAATTAACACAATAGTAAGAATTTCCAACAAAGTTATCGAGGTATTATTTGCTATACAAAGTATAAACAAGAGAAATTCTAGTTTTGAAAGTTGGAGGTTCTAGCAAATATAATTAGCCATAATATTTATCTTAGAACCTCTATCAATCAAAATATTGATTAATTTGTGTTGTTCTAACTAAATACAAATTTTTGTAGCATTTGGATCTATTGTTACAACATTAATGTCAATAACTTCTAAAGTTGTAGTGACTACTTTGCATAATCATTGTAGATTTGTTTGGAGGTTCAAGCTAAATTTTAGTAACTTTGCTAATATGATAGTGACTTTTGTGGTATCTAAGATTTTTTCACAAGTTAGAGTATCCAATTGTGTTGTTTCAAGTTCTTTTTGTATTATCAATTTGAGTTTATATAGTCTTTTTTAATGCTTGTGGAAAAAAAAGTTTTTAAAATTCTACTTGATTTTCTATTGTTTTTAAATCTTGGTCTTTTTGTAATTGGATTATTATGGCAAAAATGGTTGAAACGCTTGTATTTGCATCTTTCAACTCATTAATTGTCACATCATCTTTGCAATCTTCGTTCATTGTTTATAATAGTGGCTATTAAGATTTATATGTTGGACAATTTCAATGCTAATGTTGAATAGATTCCTAGTTTCAATAACCATTGCTGATGAACAATTGTTGATTTGATTGAAATATGTTACATTAAACTTCATCTAAATGTAGTATTGATGTTTTATTTGGTGGTTATTCTGCAAGGCAATTGTTTGGATTCTAATGATACCATCTGCAAGGCAATGGATGCTAATAATTGCAGGGATTATACATGAGCAATTATTATACTAATCTTGGTAGTAATATGTTGCAACTAGTGATATTACTTGGTCCTTTGGAAATTTGTATAGCTTCATCTATTGTTTTGCGCAATGAGGTGACTTGCATATAAATTAATCCTTTTTATAACTAATTTTAGTATAAATCATATATATATATATATATATATATATATATATATTTTAATTGTATTTATACCAAAATGATCTATCAAATATATTTTACTTAATAAAGTTGACCTTTAAATTTTTTAAATTGAGTTGTATTGTAATCAATCTGAATTTCAAATACTTCAAGTATAAATTCTTAGATACTTATGTATATGTTTTTTCTTATAAGGAAATTTTAAAATATATTTATGACATGTTAGAATTTTTTGTTTTATTTGAAGCGTAATTATTTCTAAAAAATAATTTCAAAAGAAATATTTGTGAGTTTTATGAAAATGATAATAAAAATCACAAATGCTTTCAGTGATAAATTCATAAAAATTACAAATGCATAAAGTGTCTTTTACTTTTTAACAAAATACCTTTGATCCTGTGAACCTGTCACATAACCAAGTAAAGTGTTTCATTTATTTATTTCTACATTTGTAATATCAAATGATATCTTATAAATCTCTTTGAACCAAAATTTTGTGTTCAAAAAAATAATTTAACAATGGCAGAAATTTTTAGACCATGTAGCTCTTGGTGCCTCATGAGTTATTTCACAAAATATGTCACTAATTTGGTAAATACTGATTTTGATTTTTTTTTAAAGATAACTCAAATTATTATTTTTTTCTGCTTAATATCCATTTTTTTTTGAGGTAATCACTCATTTCATAAAGTCAAGATTTTAAATACATGTATGAAATTTGAAAACATAGTTTAACATGTAGTATGTAAATTAATAATGTTTTTTGGAAAAAAAATCATGAGATGTAACCTATTGTTACACAAACGTAAATTAAGAAAAGCCTCATGCATTTATAATTACTTGGTGCTACATGATTTGGTTGAGGTTTTAAAACTTTCACAAATCTCTCTTACTGCCTATGAGCTACAGATTTTGCATTTTACAGACAGAGTTCATTAAGCAATAATGTTTTGAGTCACAAATAACGTACAAAAAATGGCACCTGGTAAAAGAGGATAGAGTTTTTCAAATAGGTACACTAATATTAACAACAAAAGGGAGAAAGAAAGAAAGAAAAAAAATAAAACATTAAAAAACATTAAAAAAACATTAAAAAAACATTAAAAAAAATAAAAATAAAAATAAAAAACATAAAAACATAAAAATTGAGTTACTGTGGGTGAAAAATGATTAATGAACGGAATCTGTTCTATTAAAAATGCTGATGTAATTTCATAAATGAACTAACAACAATTCTCATTCTTTGTACAATTACTCAAAGAAACAAAAATTTCTAAACATTTACATAATTCCAATAGAAAATGAGAAAAATATTCCGTTTTGAGTGTTTTCCATACGAAATTTGAGATCAAGACTAAAACAAAATAAATGAATAAAAAAGGTTTTAAAAGCATCAAACTTAATTACAACTGTTTCGACTTTATTCTACGAGGTAAAGTTGATGGACTAACTTTTCACTTTTTTGAAATTCAGACCCTACTTTCAACTTTTTTGGTTTCCAGTCCCTGGAAATCTAAATATTATTCGTCTCAAGCTGATTACTCTTTCATTTTTCTAATCCACTGCCCTCTGCCCGAATTCGACGCCTTCGTCTGTGACTTGAGCAGGGCAAGTACAATCGCAACCCATTTTGCACAGATCACTGCAGTTTTCGAAGCAGCGTTTTAGGGTTTGATTTCAACGCTTCAATCGCGTCAGTCCTCTCATCATTGTCAAATTTCCGCGCTCCTCGATCTGTGCAGAGTTTATTTTCACTGGGTTATCGTAGCTTACAATGCAGCAAGTAAGTTGCGCCTTGTTTAGGTGTTTTAATTCCCCATTCTGTTTTGAATTTGTAGGTCGCCTTGTTCACTTTTTTGTTTTAGGATTTCCGTGCTTTTATTCTTTACGATTTGGATTCTGTTGCGGTTGTTGCGATCGTTGTGGTGTAGTTTGTCGTTTCGGGTAGATGATTGATCCAGGGTATTGGATTATGACTGATAGGGGGATGGAGTAGAGACGGAAGTGACATGGGAAGACCAGCAGAATATTAATGCCTTCGGTCGTCTCAATAACAAGTTTCATGAACTTGAGGACGAGATTAAGGCGAAGAAGGTATTGCTTATTATTAAACCCTAAAATGTTACATATTGTACTCAACAATCACGAACTCATTAGAAAATTAGTCAAACAACATGGCTGGTTCTAATTTTGTCACATTAGATGTGTTAGAGTTTCTGATCTACTTCTGTGACATGCACCCCCATGTCTCTGTCATAATCATAATCATAAGCATAATCTTGCTTTGAATTTGTTTTAGAAACATTTTATCCTCAATTCACTTACTACGCGGTGACATTTCTTTAGAAATTCGAGGTTCCATGTTCAATTAGAAAATGGTTTGCTGAGTATATTTGACGCCCAGGACATGGCAGACAATCTTGAGGACGCCAGTAACGAGCTCATATTAGCAGATGAACCAGAACTGCGATACCTGATTGGCGAGGTGTTTACCCACCTGCCAGTTGAAGAGGTATCCGTTTATTTTCATCATTACACTTGATATTTGCGTATTCATGCAGCTCTTTCTGACTGGTGTAGACAGTGTACATAGCTCATTGAATTTCATAACGCCTTGCATTGCAACATTGTTCTTGTTTTGGGCATTTCCTGGAATTGAGTGTTTGTTTATTTCACCTCAATGAACAGCTGTGGGATTCAGCTTATTCATGCAATGTTTTGATTCGCAATCTCCTCTCGTATTGTCATTGGGATTGAAATGCAGTGTGTAGTTGGCAGAGTGTTAGGCCAAGTGATTCTCTAGGCGTAGCTACGAAAATGTCTTTGTCAATCTATCGAATCAAACAAATGCATTCCAATTTCCTTGCACGTGGATTTGCTTCCACCATTATTTTGTCTGGTATACCATACCGCTGCTGGCTGTGTTCATAGTCTTTGTGCTTGTATTCAGGTGGAAGAGAAACTGGAATCATTGAAGGAGGAGAACTCTCAGCAGCTCGAGGAATTACAGGAGGAAAAGAATGAAGTTCTCGCTAAAATGGCTGCTTTGAAGAAAATTCTATATGGGAAGTTTGGCGATTCAATTAATTTAGAAGAGGACTGATTTCTAGTGAATGAAATTTTCCTACCTGTTGATCGGCTTACTATTGCAGTGAACTGCACACAGACGCCGTAGGATGGACTGATATACTTCTGATGTAATGGATGTTGCACCTTTTAGGATGTCGCAGTAACCGTCCTCAATATCAAAATTCACCGATTGTGCATTTTCCATGAATTATAATCCACTAAGCGTCTACTTCATCAAAATTAGATGCCTCAAAAGCCCAATTCTATTTCGTTTTATTTATTTAGAAAGCTCTATTAAAGAGCAAAGAATAAATCATTCTGAAACATATTTTAGGTGATAACAGAAAGATTCGCAGTTTGTTCAGATTATAGATCGGAGAATATCTTATGAGCACTGATTCTTTTATGTACAATACGAAAAGCATTGTGCATGAGGAATGATTTCATCATTCATAAAAAGGCACAATACACTTACCTTAAATTTGGTCGAACTGACAGACTGTCAATTGACCCTTCTGAGACGCCATCCGCGCCATCGAAGTCTAGGGTCAACTGACGATCTACATCTCGATCGCCGCGATGAAGCCGTAAGGGGTCCCACAATCCCAGCTTTTCATAACGCCACGAATCTCAGACGCGATGTCTTATAACTGGGAGCAAGTGAAGCGAAGATCTAACAGTAGCTAGTGCAAGATTGGTGAGGGATAGGAGGATGATGAGGAGGACGACGAGGAGGCGCTGGCCCCGAGCAATTCCGGTAAGAAAAAGCTTTGCGGCTGTGTAATTGGCTGTGTAGCCCAACTGGGTGTATTGCTTGGTGAGCTTGTCTAAGTTCATCAGATCCAGGTACAAGCAAGCGACGCAATCCCATGGCTTCGAAGAAAAGACGCCTCAGAATGTGTTTGGATCCAGAATGTGAGAAGTTTCATGCATACACTCACTCTCTAACACTCACACACACACATCGTGGGCGTTGGTTGCAGTGGTCGTCACCGAGTGGAAAACTGATTTCACGTACACCAGGCTCCCAATGAGTCTCTCTCTCTATATATATATGTATATACATATATTCAAAATACATGAAAAGAAGGTAACCATTATATAGAATGAGTATATATGTGTATATATATATATATATATATATATATATAGAAAATAAGGATAGGAATAAAGTGATGGGGATATGTTATATAGATGAACAATCCCTTGACTCATGAACTTTGAGTGAAGTTTTCATGAATATGAAATCCCAGGCACACTGTGTGGAGTTTTCATGTGTAGGAATGAAGTTTTTATGGGGTTGCTATTATTTATGTATTATTATTATTACTATTATTTTTAAAATTATTTGGAGATGATCATAATGGTAACAGTGTTTTCTAATGTAGAAGTGGGCATGAATACATTGAGAATACTATTCTAGATTAATGCAGTTGTCTCTCCAATATTTAATCTCCTATACTTAATCAAACTTTTGGGAACCATTTATCTAGCCTTGTTTGTTGTTTTGAACAAGACCTATTCATTTTATTAGTGTTTTTTTTATGTATTCAATGGTACAAGTTTTCACATTTGTGCATATGCACATAATAGATAAGCTAAATGGGACCACTACAATTTGCTTCTATAAAGTTCTAAACTATAGAGTAATATTGTTTTAAAGAATTGAAATTTGATACGATTTATATTTTAGATAAAAAATCTAAAGTGACATTTATACAATTATAAAATTTTAAGTGGTTCTTTTTCAAAAAAGAATCCCAAATTTTTTTATTTTGAATTAAGTTATATTAAATATACAATTCTTACAAAGGTTTATTAATAACACTCTGCAAAATTTATAACACAATTTGCATGACACTTTAGACTACATGTATAGTACTTGAGACACACAAATATAAAATAAAATTGCATTGATAAACATATAACTAAATTAAATTTATTCTTAATTAAATAATCATACAATTTATTTTTTGACAATTTCAGTTCATTCAATATTATTTACATTGTAATAATATAGTAACAATATAAAATTAAATAAAAATATTAAAATAAATAATTAAATAATTTTTTATAATTGAAATCATTATTTTATATTTTTCACTTAATATACATATAAAATATAATAAAAATAAAATGATTTTCTACATAATTTTTATTATATATGTATAAAATTAATAAAATTATATATATATATATATATAGAAAAATATTTTGAATAGATGGTGGATTGTAGTGGAAGTAGCGAAAATTGTGGTAGCATTAACAATACTCTCTATATACATACATACATACATTATAAACCACAATAATGTTTGCAAAATAGGTGAATTTTTGCACAAAATCACAAAAGTATATAACATTTTAAAAAAATATACTCTAGAATTAAACTTATATTGATTTTTATTTCTTATATTGATGTGATAATATTTTAAAAAATATGTATTTCTTGTTATAATGTCTTGACACTCATTAAAATTTTTAAAAATATAATAAAATATTAACTCTTTAAAAACTTCTATTGCATTAAAATAAAAATTTGATTTAACAGATGTTGATAGGTTTTTTTTTTTTTTTTTTTTTTTTTTTTTACACACACACACACATATATATATATATATATATATACAAAAGGACATACTTCCTATACAGAAAACATAAAGGAAAATTACATTATATGTGTTGCAGCTGATCAAACTTATATTATCACTCAACATAACTTTTCAAGTAAAAACCTAAATTTGAAAATTAATTTACATTAATTTCAGATTTATGTGTGTTATTTAAACAAATGTCTAAATTGGTTATAATAAAAAAATAAAGTAATACAATTTTTTTACTTTATAGCAAGAAATTTGAAGAAACATATACAAATAAATTTTAAATAGTCAAATATTCAAAAAAAACAATACACAGATGTATAAAATATACTATTATAAAAGTGCAAACAAAAATCCTTGTTAATAATTCAGGTAGATTTATTTTCATTTTTGATGATGCAATTAGGGTTTCAGAAATCAAGTCAAAAGAGTTCAAACATCTTAATTTCTACACTCTTATTTTATTGGTTATTAACTGAAATATGATGTTTTATTTATTTTATTTTTACATATCATGAATAACTTATATTTCCATTATTTAGTTCAGTCATTAATTAAATTTAGTATCATGGTAACAACCTAGCAATTGGATATACATAAAAGCATAACATTGAAGATTTCACACTATATATATCATATAAATCAAAGAAAAGTTTGATGAATGAGAATCCTATTTTATCCAAGCACAACTCTCATTAGTTTTGATACAACATCATCATGAACATATATATCACATTGATTATGAGGTGAGATGACAAGAACAATTACATTGCCAAGACTGCTCCCGCGAAGACAACCATTGGAAACCAATCCCTCCATGCTTGGGACGCAGCAAGATGTGAATACGGTGTCGGTAACGTGTGACCTATTTTGTTGTGTTCCACCGACACTTCGCACTGGACCCAAAGCTGGGAGTTTGCGAGGACCATGTGAGCGACTTGTCAGGGGAGGGATCGACTCAAGCAGAAGAGATCTTGTAGCATGTTCAGTGTCATGAAATGACTAGTGGCTAGACTCAGCAGTCAGCACAAAGCATTTGCCTCGGACTGGAGGTGTGAAGGAAAAAATTTCATGCAGATTCATAAGCGGAAATGGCATGAGCCAGGCCCCAGTACCCTACCACGAAATGGTTGCATTGTGGGCCACTTTGAGAGGACCTCCATGACTCTTTCCATTCATTCATAACCTGCCTGATTTGTGGCATTTGGAGGCTAGAAAGTCCTTCAAACTGGAAGCAATGCTGATGTGCGAGCACAGATTGTCACTGTAGATGACTGCGGAGACAGCTTGGCACATACTCAATCATCTGTCGAGTGCTCAGCTCCTGGCTGTGTTCATGCAAGTAGTCTCGTGACCTCATGATTTGCACATAGGTTTCCATGCTTGCACTTAGCGATCAAGAAGGTGAATGATATCAACTCTTTCGATCCAAGTTATCGCACTGGTAAATCCAGGCAATTCTTCGTCGCATTTGTTTGCACTGCAACACAATTGCAGCTCTTAGCGGATCACGGTGGTCGGTGACGGAATCGGGGCAGTTTGTTTGGAGCAGAAGTTTAAGCCTTAGATTGTGGTTTCAAAGTGGTTCTAAGCTTGCAGGGGGTGTGATCTACAACATGGCGATCTTTAGAAATTCTCTACTTTACATCTTTGTCTTGGTGGCAGGATCGTTTCTCGTGGTTTCTTTGCAGGTTGACTCAGCCCCTGATCAATCTTTTAACGCTTGGGCAGTAGGAGAGCGGGCTGAGTATGAAGCCAAGCAGGCCGCGTCACCTCATCTGGGGATTCAAGACAATCCAGACGGCGACTTCAACACCGCCGCAAAACCTACTCCGGTGCTAGAGTCCTGCCTTAGGATAGTGGGGAAGAAAGTCTCTGGAGCAAAGTACAAGAAAGTGAAATCTGCAATTAATTCCATTCCTAAGGGCAACTCTGCGCGGTGCGTCGTCATGATTGGTGAAGATTTTTACAAGTAATTTTACAGAACCATGTGCAATTTTGACTAACTGTGTCATGAATGGTCAAAACATTTCTCCTCATTTGCCATTGACTTTGAATGCAAAATTTGTTTGTTCCAAACCATATAACCCGGAAACGCTTGGTCAAATAATGTGGCAGCGGATCCTCCGTTAAAACTGCTGGGATTTTGTTGTGACAGGGAGAAGATAAAAATACCCAAGGAAAAGCCATATGTCACGATCGAGGGAGCTGGTGCAAACAAGACAGTCTTGTCATGCCACGATTACGCGGGGAAAGTTAACAGCACGTATAAGAGTGCTTCCTTCGCTGTCATGTCGGATTACTTCATTGCAAAAGACGTCACCTTTGAGGTAAAACTGATCCGTCGTCATCGTGATTTTCTGTCCGGTTTCTACAACCAGATTTAAGCCACTCACCATGAGGTTCTTGTGGCGACTTCATGTGCACAACGGTTGAAGGACTAGATGAGTGGCATGTTACAAAATTCCATTGCAATTATGCAGAAAAAAGTAGTAGTGCGTACTGTGAACCTTGAGTGGTTCTGGCAACAGAACTCACACCCGCTTCCATCAGGCGGTGAAGTGGGACAGCAGGCCGTAGCATTCAGAATCGAAGGGGACAAGGCTCAATTCTACCGCGTGGCCCTTCTGGGAGCCCAAGATACGTTATACGACATGGCAGGCAGGCACTACTTCAAAGACTGTTACATCCAAGGATCCATCGATTTCATCTTCGGCAGCGGGCAGTCTTACTACGAGGTACTATTCAGACCACTACTTGGGAAGTCTCCAGTGACCTCGAAGAGAAATATGAGAAGAATGAATCGATGTAAAGAGAAAGGATAAAATGAAGGAAATTGTGAAACGGTGCGAGAAATCTAACTCATCGACTATATCGCTGAACCCCATTGCAGACATGCCATCTGCATTCGATTGCCAACCCAGGAAGCGGGTCCCTAACAGCTCAGAAGAGAGGAACAGGTGTTGAGACCAGTGGGTTTTCGTTCGTGCGCTTCTGCGTGACAGGAAACGGGCCCATCTACTTAGGCCGCGCCTGGGGTCCCTACTCCAGAGTGGTATTCCTGTACACCGACATCGCCGCACCGATCATCTCCGCCGGCTGGTACAACTGGAACGATCCTGAAAGAGAGAAGTGTGATCCTCCCTCTTCCCCACCTCGTTATCTCAATCTTACCACCTTCAGATACTTTCAGACAACACTAAACAACTGACAGGGCAAAGGTCCTGAAATAATAGATTACAGAAAACTGATGTAAACAGGTGGTTTAGAAACTCTACTCTTACAAATCTCATGTGGGCTGTCCAGGACGGTGTATAACGCACAATACAAATGCACAGGCGTGGAAGCCAATACGACGGGGCGTGCTTGGTGGTCCAAGGAGTTGACAGACGCCGAGGCTGCCTCTTTCTTGAGCTGGGACTTAGTTGACGGCAAGGAATGGATAGGCAGGGTGTAGTTGAAGACATCCTTTCAGCAGTTGACAGGTAAAAAGTATTGTAGTTGAAAGGCATGAGATCACTATCCTGAAATGTGGCTATATTTTGAATATGTTCAACCTATCCAACACCAATCTCTCCCAGCAATTGGGTGATTTCACACTCTTGCATGAATTTGAACAATGACAAACTCGTGACTCATTCACATTGCAAACACGAATGTGCCGGAACATGGTAAGGGCCGCATTTGATTCCAAATTTTTTAAACTTTTGGGATATGTATTTAATTCGGTTTAAACTAACAATACTATTCCTTTTTATCCTATAAGAAATCAATGCAAAAGAAATGATTAGATTCATTTAGGTCTTTCATCTTATAGTACTCTTATAATTCATCCTTGTATTTCATAAGGAGCTTGCCACCAATCAGTATATTATTGATATAAATAGTTAGTACAAAATTAATCTATTAATATACATTGTGTACAAACAAAGGTCTAACTTTGAGCACTTCTAACTAAGATTGAGTAAAGATGCATCTAAACTCTCATTCTATTCACATCTAAATTACTCTAAGCTATACAATGTCTTAAACAATCGCAATATCTTGTCTTTTTGTTTAAGTAGAACTTTTTATCCTCTTAGAATCTTTATGTAGATGTCTTCTTTTTTAAATTCACTATTTTAATAAACTGAAACAATGTCAAGTTGCAACATAATCCAATGAAGAGTAGTAGCAATTGCAACAAATATGTATTTTTTTGCAAAACATGCAATTGGTGCAAAAGCTTATAAATAATCAAGACCCTTCACTTGGATAAAATCTTTTGCAATGAATCATGCTTTAAAATGCTCAATGGAACCATAGCTAGTATTTTTTTTTTTTTTTTTTTTTTTTTTTTTTTAAATCCACAATCTTTAACCATTTGGTAAAAATACACAATGTTCTTTCAAAGAATCAAGTTCTTCTTTTATGGCATGCTCAACGGTTTCTAGTTCTATATGCTCGTCAATATAAATAACATCCATTGTTTCAATTGACAAGTCACAATCTCCTCAAAGAAAATTGTGGTTATTTTTTCAAGACATGCAATATATCCTACTTCTACTTATGATGTTTGTTGGATCAATTTCACCTATATAACGGCTTCATGATAGAACTTGAGTACTTGCCTCTGCTTCTAATTAATGGAATTCCACTACTTTTATTGGTATAGAGTTTGTCTTTTTGTCAACCATTTCTCTACCAAATCCATTATGTATATGTCATTTCAAGTCTTAAGGTTTGAATATTTCTAATTCACCTAGATATTGAAGATCAAGCAAATCAAGCTTGATTCTATGATTCCTATATTTTCCACTCTTTTCTTAAAGAATTAGTGGCTTATCAAGTAACTTATCCTTATAATTACAAAAAATCACATTTTGACTAAAAATGATCTTCTTTTTATTATGTAGGATTTTTCATCTCTTTTTGCCTCACTTAAATATTCAACAAAAATATCCTTTTTTACCTTTGTATTAAGGTTTTGATGCTTTTCTTTTGATATATGATATCAAGTAAGATAACCAAAAAAACAAGCATATTGAATAAAAGGTTTTTTACCATAAAAAACTTCATATAGTATTTTACTACCAAGTCTTGCAAGTGGAAGATGATTACAAGTTCAAGTCATAAACTTGGTAACAAACAATCAATATTGATGATCTAGCTTGACTTTATTCTGAAGTATTTATACTCCTTTAAAGATACATTGTTGTATTCTAAAACAACTATATGATAAAAAATAAAAATTCAAGATTTATTATAGAAAAGCCTAATTAAAAAATGTAATAAGAAAATATAGATAAAAAAATAAGGAGATAGTAAAAAACTTTAATATTGATACTATTTTTTAATAAAAAAATATTTTATTTATTTTATATAGCTATAAATAAGATAAAATAAAGTAGATAAAAAATAAATAATTTGGGAATTTTTGAAATAAGTTAAGAATAATTTGTAGCAAATATAATCTTAAGAAATTAAGAATTGATACTTAGAGACAATTGATTGTGAACCTGAATTGAAATTAGATGCTAAGACACAATATTATGCTTTTACAACTCCTTTGGAGTTTTTTTGCTAATCAAAGAATAAGATTAGAGTGAAAAATTTTAAAAGATTGTTTAAGTATTGATATCTAGTGATTTAGATTAATATTGAGTTTTTGAGAGATTTTCAAAGTCAAAGATGTCTTTAATGATTTTAAATTTTTAAAAAATAAAAAGATGTTTATATATTTAAAAAAATTTGTGCATTTTATAATGGATGAATAAGTTAAATTTTTTGGATTGTAAATGTACTTGTCTTAAATGACTTATAAAAATTTTAAGTTAATCAAATAGTTAGATTGAAGAATAATAGAATTTAATTGAATTACAATCTTAGATATGTGAATTTTAGTATCAAAGAGATTTCTTAAATCCTAAGTAGTCTGTTAGTTTGATTAAAACAAAATTTTGTGAGATCATAGTAAGATTTTAATTTTATAATTTTATCAATTGAAAGAGCAATTGAATGATTAAGAAAGAATAATTGTTGATAGAAGATTGACAAAAAGATTAGAAAAAAAAGAACAGCCAATATCTAAAAACATCAGGAGTTTTCTTTATCTAGATAGTAAATTCAATTTTTTTCAAACTTTCTCTACTTATTGTTTACTTAAAGATTAAAATTTATAATTTTTTTTAATCAAGATAAATTTTTTAATTAATAATTATTGGATTTTTTAGAATAATATAAAATTTAGTTAGGATTTACTTAGAATTTGTTTAAAGTTTCATAAGGAATTATTTAGGAATATATTAGAATTCTATTAGAATTAACTTATAATTTACATAGAATTTATTTAAAATTTAATTAAGTTTTTTTTATTACTTTAAAAATTAATTTATATTTTTTATTTTTTAATTTTAATTTTAATATTCAATATTTAAAAGATTTTTTTCTCATTTATTTATAATTATTATCTTTATTTTTAAAATTAAATTATTATTTATTTATGATTTTTATTTTTAGTATTTTAAAACAACTTAATTTTGCTTTTAGGCTTTTTTTAATATTCATTTTATGATTTTTTATAAGTCTTTTTAGATTTTTAAAAAAAAATCTTAAGAATTTATTAAGTTTTAATTAAAAATACTAATATTTAATTAGGATTTATTTAGAATTCTATTAGACTTATTAAGACCTTTTTTGTTGAAATTTCTCATTTCCAAGCTATAATTATGTCCTTGGTGCATTTTTAAGTAAGACAATATATTATTGATGATAAGGACTTGACAAATGCAAATAAATAAGTGAGATGTTTCTTAAAAAAAATAATTAAATAAAAAAAGTAAACTTGTATATTCTAGAAGAAACTAAAATAGCTATATTTACGTATTTACTTTTTTATTTGCCAAAAGATAAAAAAATTAGGCACCCTTGAAATTAGACTAGAAATAAATAAATAAAAATTAATAATAATGATGAAGGCCTCACTCTTATTTTTATATATACTATCAAACTAAAAGCTATGTGGTAATATTTTATAGGACCTCCAATATGTATATAACTTGTCAAACAAGTTTCCTATATATGCAACATATGTCTACTTGGTATAACAAATCATTAATATGTGCAATATATGGTCAACTTACTAGCCAAACTTTTAAACTATCAATCACATGTAGATACATATAAAAATAAGGCCATATCTATGAAGCTTTTAAGAATCTTTTCTACAAATTATTATCAACTTTATTTACTTTTATTTACTTCTATATATTCATATTACCTAGATAATTATTAAAATAAATTTAAATGTCTACCACATTATCGTTTTTATTTTAGGAATAAGTTCTATAAAGAGAAATGATTATATATTGATGAAGTCTAAGATGCATAAAATTGTATTTACTACATACTTTGATCTTTATTCTTTTTTAAGATAGTTGATAAGTCCTCTAAATTATTAATAGTGTCTCATATCATAGCATGAAGACTACCTTGATATTTGATCATTGTTGAGGTCTTAACAACTTTCTTCATAAAAAAAATTTGAAATACTATCAAGAATGGTTTCTATATTCAATAATATTATCAAACATCAAAAGTCTCTTCTAAGGTCATGATAACAAATGTATTGTATGTCGCCATCTATTTGAAGAACATGTTTTTTAAGATTTTTATCTCTATTACATTGTCTTGAATATTGTGACAATCACAATGTCTTGTTTGGTAATTTTGCAAATAATAGCTCTTGAGTTATAAGAAAACTTTCCTAATAATAAAAGAATTATTCAATAATTTTGATGGTAATTAATTTTATATTATAAATATTGTTCTAAAACTTAATTCACTTATTTTTTTGTCTATTAATTTGAATATGAAAAGTCAAATAATTTTATATCTATCTTCAATATTTTAAAAATGATTATTTTAAACCTTGATACAAATTAGGTTCCTTTATCAAATATAATATTTCTTGACTATCTATGATAACAATAGATATTTTTAAGAAATTTTTTAGCTATTTCTTTACATATGATAGATTTTATAGGTGATACAAAATGTGCCATCTTAGTAAAATAATCTACTATTATTTTAAGTTGAGAAATTCTTGATAAAATCATTTAAACTTTAATTTGAGAGATTCTTGATAAAATCTATAAAAATAGAAGATCAAAATTATTTAAGTATAAGTATTGGTTGAAGAAGTCCATAAGATTGATGATGAGAAGTTTTTGATTTTAAACAAATATCACATACTTATAAAAAGTCTGTAACTTCTTTTAATATTTGAGGTCACAAAAAATCTCTTGAGATTAATCTTAAAGACTTATTACATCTAAATTATCTAGCAATTAGAAAGTTATGACAAGCTTGAAGAACTTGTTATTATATTTTACTTTTTCTGACAAATAAACAACCTTCAAAATACATTGAATTGTTCTTGAATTCAAACTTGAAAGAATTCTTGAGATTTTGAAGAATTTTCTTTATATCACAAATAAGAGGATCAAAGGATATACTTGATTGAACTTTTTTTAAAAAAATTAAATCAAAAATTAACATTGATTTCATTTCTCAAAGATGAAATTATTTTAGCTTCAAGAAAATTATTCTTTGTTGATCAGAAGTTGCATCTTTTTTTTTGG